TTGCGAGCCCCATGATCTTGATGAACGCATGGACCCTTCGTCCCCTCCGAGCCCTATTACCCTTAAGAACTCTCTGAGACCCATGAGCCCCGTGTGCCTCCAAGAGCCCCCCAGACACCTCCCTTAGGAGCTCACGAGCGACCGTGCTCCCAAGCGTCCAGTGGACGCGGCACCATCAGCCAACAGGAGCTCATGAGCTCGATGGGCCCGTCGAGCCTTGCGAGCACATCGACGTCCTCGGTGCCGCGAGCCCTATGGCCCTATGAACTCAAATGGCTATTATGAGCCCGATGAAATGAGCCCTGTGCGCCCTACGGCCTCCGAACTTCATACGCCCTATGACCCCCTATGAACCGTGCGAGCCGCATGACCCCAACAGGCCCTATGAGCTCTATGAGCTTTATGGGCCCTATGAGCCCTACGTCGCCTGTGAGCCTATGACCTTGTAAGCCCTCTGAACCATGTGAGTCCGATGAGCCTCATGAGCCCTACGAGCCCAGTGAGCCCTGTAAACCATATGTCGCCTTTGAGCCTCACAAGCCCTGCGAGCCCTTTGAGCTCTATCAGCCCCACGGGCCCAACGAGCCGCATGGCCCCAAGGAGCCTCCGCAAAACTATGAGCCGTATGAGCCCCATGGGCCGTATGAGCCCTATGGCCCCCGCGACCCGTTATGAACCTTGTTAGCTTTGTGAGCGCGGTGGGTACGCTGACCCCTGTGAGCACCATGGGCCTCATAAGCTCGATGAGCCCGTCCGAGGTGGGGGCCAAGAGCCCGTGACGTAAGTTTGGCCAAGGCCCTTGCGAGCCTTAGAACCCTGATGCGCTCAACAACCCAAGGAATCCTATGTACCCACGCACGCCTGCGGGTCCTCGGAACCTCAGGATCCCCATGAGCCGCGCTGGCTGAATGACCCGTCTTCCCGATCAGCTCTCCGAGCCTCCGAGCCCCAATGGCGGCGGAGAGGCCTGTGAGCCCTCTGACCCGGTAGAGCCCATGGGTCTTGTCAGCTTCGCGTGGCCCCTGGACCCTATTGCTGACGCGTATCGCGGTAGTGGCGTTTAACAGTCGCAGCGGGCCTCTCTGACGCTATGCGATCAAGATCTGTAAGGCGAAGCGAAGCGAGCCAGAAACACCTCGTGTGTATATGTGTATATGTGTGTGTATGTGTATGTATGCATGGGTGAATGGGTGTATGCATGCATGCATGTATGAATGTGTATGGATGTGTATGCATGTGTGTATGCGTGCGTGCATACATGAATGTTGGTATGCCCGCATGCATCTATGCATGTATGCATATACCATATGTGTGTATGTGTGTATGTATGCGCGTATTTCTGTATGTCTGTCTGTCTGTATGTGTGTATGTATGCATGCATGTGTTCATGTATGTGTGTATGTGTTTATGAACGGATGCACGTATGTATGTATGCATACATGCACGCATGTGTGCATATATACATGTATGTATGTATACATGTATGTATACATGGGTGTGTGGTTGCACGCATGCTTGTACGTATTAGTCATGTATATATGTATGTAGGTATGTATATGTGTGTAGATGCGTGCATGTGTGTATGTATGTGTGTATGTATGTATGTATGCATGCATGCATGTATGTATGTATGTATGTATGTATGTATGTACGTTTATATACGTATGCATGTATGTTAGTATGTGTGCATGTATGCGTATGTGTATGTGTATATGTAGGTTCAGTATGCGTATGTGTGTATGTGTAGGTTAGGGTGTAGGTGTAGGTGTATGTGTAGACGTGGGTGTAGGTAGGTAAGTAGGTAGGTTTGGATGTCTTATGTGTTGTAATCATATGTACATGTGTAGACAGATGAACGATTATGCCGCTTTCTTTCTCTCTCTCTCTCTATATATACATATATATATATATATGAATGCTGTTTTTTGTTGTCTTTCCCTTTCCTTTGTAGTATTCGAGTTCACATATTCCCCAAATCGTGCTTGCATTCAGGGGCTCGTCCTTCTGCTCTCCCGCAGCTGAGCCTCCGTGGCGGCCCGGCCGGCCTTTCGCCGCCCGTCGCCGCCCGTTGCCGCCGCCGCCGTTTGGCCCCAGTGGCGGTCCGGCCGGCCCGTCGCAGCCCGTCGCCTCCTCCTCCTCGTCCTCCTCCACAATTGCTCAATATGAATATACTCTCCCTCTTCCCCTGATGGCGTCCGGGTGATGGCCGCGCACCCTCCGCGTATTGTTTTTTACACACAGGATGCCCGGGAAATCCCGGGAAACGACTCTCGCTGAGGCGCCGGCGTCATTTTTTCCCAAAATGCTGCTCTCGTTGAGGCGCCGGCCTCATTTCTGCTCCCGAATCGTTCCGAATCGTGCTCCCGCTGCAGCGTGGGCCTCATTTTCGGATCGGTGTTTGGCCTCCGTCGTTCAGGATGGCGTTCTCGCCCCAGCGCGGGCCTTTTTCTCGCGCGCCCATCCGCCCGCCACCACCGCGCCGCACCGCCACCACCACCACCACCACCACCACCACCACCACCACCACCACCACCACCACCACCACCACCACCACCACCACCACCACCAGCACCACCACCACCACCACCACCACCACCACCACCACCACCACCACCACCACCACCACCACCACCACCACCACCACCACCACGACAACCACGCACACACGCACGCACGCACGCACGTGCACCACCACCCACTACGCACGCGCGCGCGGAGCCACAGGTCCGCTACGACACGCGTCCGCGGATAGAGAAAATCAGCGCCATGGTAAGGGATGGGAGGGAGGGGTAGGACGTCAGATATGACGCGAGCGCACCTAGCTTGTCCTTCTCCCCTCCTCCTCCTCCCCCTCCTCCTCCCCTCCTCCTCCTCGTCCTCCTCTTCCTCCTCCTTCTCCCCTCCTCCTCCTCCCCCTCCTCCTCCCCTCCTCCTCCTCCTCCTCCTCCCCCGCCTTTGCACTGCGTTGCGTTGCGTTGTGTTGCTTCACGTTCGTTTGCTCCGCACAGACTGCGCCGCATGGATTGCACCACCTGGATAGCACCGTATATACACTGCAAGGCATCATTGTTTTGGGCCCACGCTGTCTAGTATACACGTATCGATACATGTGCAACATACGCTGTTTATCCCTTTCTATGCCTGTCTATATACGCTGTGTATGTGTGTGTTTGCGTGCATGTTTCTGCGTTCTCGTGCATGTGTGTATACACACGGACAGACAATGCTCCCCCCCTCTCTCTCTCGCTCTCCCTTCCCCTCTCTCTCTCTCTCGCTGTTTCTCTCTCTGTCTTCCTCTCTCCCCCTCTCTCTCCCTCTATCCCCCCCCTTCCTCTCTCTCACTCTCTCGCCGTCTCTCCCCCCTCTCTCTCTCCCTCTATCTCCCCCCCTTCCTCTCCCTCGGCGGCGGCCCGAGCTCGCCCCCGCGCCTCGCGCGGCGGGCGCCCCCCCCCTTCCATCCCCCTGCCACTCCAGTCGTTCCAGAGCGTGGGAGAAGGGGGACGGGGAGCGAGGAGGAGGAACAGGAGGAGGAGGAGGAGCAGGAGCAGGAGCAGGAGCAGGAGGAGGAGGAGAAGGAGGGGGGGGAGGAGGAGGAGGAGGAGGAGGAGGAGGAGGAGGAGGAGGAGGAAGAGGAGGAGGAGGAGGAGGAGGAGATAGAAAACGTTTTGTTTGTTTTTTCTTCTGGCGGGTAACTCTTTGCTACCCGGGCCCAACCCCCCTTCCCCCCGGGGTAACGCTAACGATCGTACGTTTTTGGGGGGTGGAGGGCGGACTCCTCCTCTCAGCAGGTATGGCGCTGTGCTCACAGGCGTGGCGTGGTGCTGAAAGGCATGTGTGGTGCTCACAAATGCGCTGTGGCGTTAGCAGGTTCCCCGCCTGCTGCGTCTCCGAATTTACATGCATGGTGTGGCGCTAAAAGGCATGTTTCGGTGCTCACCTGCCTGTTGTGGCGCCTGCAGGCCATTGCAGTGCGCAGACTAGTGTGGTTTACGTCTACATCCCTATGTTCTCTTCCCCTTTCTCTTCCTACTGGTGAACTCTGGGAGCAATGCAGCCAGGGGATTTCGCTGCCATGTCTGGGCGGAGCACCGGTTAACCCGCGTCTGTTTCAATAGGCGTTGACGAAGGAGAGCAGGACCAGGAGGAGGAGGAGGAGGAGGAGGAGGAGGAGGAGGAGGAGGAGTGGCAGGGGGAGGGGGAGGAGGACCAGACGCAGGAGGAGGAAGAGGAGGAGACAATGTGGTGCACACGGCGCTGTGGCGCATACGGCTGTTGCACTGTGCAAAATACGCTGTTGTGTACACGGGCGACGTTGTGCGGGCTTCCGCGGTTTGTGGCAGGTCCCGCAAAAAATGCATCGCAAGTTACTGATGTGCCCGTTGGCATTTTTGTTGTAGACAGGCGTTGTGGTGCACGGAAGCATTGTGGCGTACGCATGCGCTGTGGTGCACATGGCTGCTGTGAGGCACGCAGGCGCTGCGGTACACAAGCGCGCTGGTGCGTGCACACAGGCAATGTGGTGCACACAAGAGCTGTTGCGCACACGGTTGCTGCAGTATGCACAGGTATTGCGGCGTACATGGGCGACGCGGTGGCGTTGTGCACGCAGCTGCTGCAGTGTACCGAAGCACTGTGGTGCACTCCGGCGGCGTTGTCTTGCACGAACGCATCTGGCACTGTCGCGCGAGCAGAGATTGTAGCGCCCGCTGGCAATTGATGTGCCGATGGCGCGGGCGCGCACTGGCGGGCGCACGCTGCGGCCGCCGTTACTGTTACCCGCCGGCCACCCCTCGCCCTCCCTGGGTAACAGCCGTTACCCGAAATAAGAATACTAATACGAATAAAAGTAACAATGATAATGACAGTTATCATACTGACTATTATGACATTAAACAGTCTCATAGTTCCAGAGCGTGGGAGGGGGACGCGGGGGCGGCCTTTTGAGCGCATCCCGACGAGGCCCGTCCCGAGCGCCCCCCCCCCCGCCACTCCCCGCCCAGTGGCTGCCCGAGCTCGCCCCGAACCTGTTTGTGCGAGCCGATCCCACCAAGCTGTCGAGGAGGAAGCAGCGCGAGCGCATAGAGCCGCTGTACAACCGCTTCGAGGAGCTTGCAGAGGGCCTCGGGGCCAGGGGGCCACGAGTCAGGGGAGGAGAAGGCACTCATACCTCTACCCTCCCCCCGTCTTCCCCTGTGGGGGGCCTCCTAGGGGACCCTCGTCGCCACCGATGGATTCGCCTCGGAACCCTGTGCAGCACGTACCCCGGGAGAGGTCGCTGGAGTGCCAGTACCTCTTGATTTTGCCGACTTGCGACTCTTGGAGGGGGAGGCCCAGGGAAGGCGGGGGAGCGGCGACGGGCCCAGGGAAGAGGAGGAGGAGGAGGAGGAGGAGGAGGAGGAGGAGGAGGAGGAGGAGGAGGAGGAGGAGGGGAGGGGGAGGAGGAGGAGGAGGAGGAGGAGGAGGGGGAGGAGGAGGAGGAGGAGGAGGAGGAGGGAGGAGGAGGAGGAGGAGGAGGAGGAGGAGGAGGAGGAGGAGGAGGAGAGGAAGGAGGAGGAGGAAGGCGGGGAAGAGGAGGCAAGGGGGGGGAGGGGGGACGGGCCCCGGGAGAGGCGTGGCGCAGGGGGGCAGGAGAGGCGACGGGCCCAGGTTCAACGCGTGGGCGCCGGGGGCAGGCGACGAGCGAGCGACGGCGACGAGCGAGGGACGGGAACGGAGGAGCCCCTGGGGAGGAGGGAGGGAGGAGGAGGAGGAAGGAGGAGGAGAAGGAAGGAGGAAGAGGAGGAGGAAGAGGAGGAGGAGGAGGAGGAGGAGGAGGAGGGACGAGCCCCTGGGAGGAGGAGGAGGAGGAGGAGGACGAGGAGGAGGAGGAGGAGGAGGGGAGGAGGAAGAGGAGGAGGAGGAGGAGGAGGAGGAAGAGGAGGAGGAGGAAGAGGTCGGCGGATGTGTGCGAAGGAGGGAGGGATCGGAGGGATCGGAGGCGGGGACAGGTGCCCACGCCGCTCCCCTTCGTGTCCGTGTTCCCTGTTCTCGGCCTCCTGGGAGGTCCTCGTCGCCAGCGCTGGATTTGCTTCGAAATCAGGAGGGGAAAAAACACAGACACAATTAATCGGCGATTCCTAGAAAATATAGGGAAATATGGGAAGTGGGGGGGAAGACAGAAACCCAGAAACTATGGGAACATATGGGGGATATGTTTATTTGTGTGTATTTATTTGTGTGTCCTGGGGCCTCTTAATCCTGGTGAGAACGCATCCTGAAAGGGGTCCAGAGAGTAGCAGCGTCGGGACCTGTTCGCTTCCCCAGGGGGAGGATCGGCTTGACCCAACAGGGGGTCCAGCGACAGGGGGGTGGTGCAGTAGATTTGTGGGCGTTGCAGGACATCTGGGGCGGGCGATACATTCCGGGGCGCAAATGTATTGCTGGATTTCCGCGTGCAATGCATTAGTTGCGATACAGTGCAAAACAATCTTCCAGCGCAGTACATTTGCCATACAATTGCCTTAAATCTATGGCGCCACCCCCTTGCAGCTGGACCCCCTTTTGGGCCACCCAAAGACAGGGGGGTCTGCAAATCCCCTCCCTCGGGGCGGGTTTTGCAGTGCGGACCTCCAGGGCTGAGCAAGCTTCGACGACGTCGGACGACATGTGACGACACGCGACAACGACTGCGACGTCGTTCGACGACGTCGGACGACGCGCGACGACGGTCGACGGACGGTCGGACGACGAATGCGACGACGTTCGACGACGTCGGACGACTTGCGACGACTTCGACGGACGGGGATTTCAGTAACGAGTCCCACCAGAGGACGCGCGGATTGTGCCTGCCGGTTTCGAGTCCGATCCGGCGTCCGCCCAGCCGGTTTCCGATTCGATCCGACTCGGCCTTGCCGAGTTTTGCCGATTTCAATGGAGCGGCCAACCTCTGTCGGCGTCTGCCGGCTCGACGTTGGGGTCGACGCGACTCAACTCGTCTCTGGACGCCCGAAATGGGCACGGAAAGAATGGGTACAATGCCCAACAGCAGTTCCTGTTCATTTTGAACAGGACTCGCTGTCGGTGTCGCCGCGGCCTGCGTCCATTTGAGACAGCAGGCCGCCCAACAGCGGCCGCTGTTGGTTTGGGACAACATTTGTTGTTGGGCATTGTACCCATTCGTACCGTGACCATTTCGGGCGTCCAAATCGTCGATCCGATGCTGAGGCCGCCTGCACGGGGGCCGGGGTGGAAGCATGCCACGATCCCCTGGGGTCGGAGCCCGAGGCGGGGCGGGACGATGCAGGGGCCGAAGCGGGCGGGGCCAAGACGTCACCACCCACCAAACCACCCCAACCCAACCCGAAGGCCTCAATTCACCCTCCATTTCCAGTGGGGGAGGGGTCGGGGAACGCTGAAAAAACACATGGAACCCGTACCCCCCCCCCACCCGAAATGCGGGTCAAATTCGGGTCTTCGGGTTGGGTTGGGGTGGTTAGGTAGGTAGTCAGGACGTTGATAAATCCTTTCCAGAACGCTCTCAGAGCGCTGCGGAACGCTCTGAGAAGGCCTCGGCACCCGAGACATCCTCCAGAGCCGCAGGAGCTCAGAGATTCTCAATACATTCTCACTCGATATGATCCTCGTCCTGACTTCGCCTTCATGCAGGCAGGAGCTGCAGGGCGAGACGTCAAAATCTTGAGCTTCGAACCCCGATGCCAGACGACGACGGCGAGGACGACGGGGAAGGCCGGCGCGCCGCCGCAGGAGCCGAACTCGTGGCGGTTGTCGCGCCGGCGCGGCTGACGGGCGTGCGCTGGCCAGCGTTGTGCCTGCCCCCCCGCTGGCGGCTGGGCGGCCCCGTCCCCACCTTTTTTCCCCTTGTCAGTGTGTCCCAGGCATTTCCGGGCCTCCCAGCAGTCTAGGCCTCCCGGATGGGGTCGGAGTAGATGGGGTCGGAGGATCGCGCCGCATCGCCGATGCGGCTCGATGCGGAACCCGACTTTCGCCACGCCGACGGCGCCAATGCATCGCCGACGTCGCCGATGCATCGGCGATGCTGCGGCGATCGTCCGACCCATCTAGCATAGTAAGGACGGGCAACCTTCCCAAGGGTGCCCTTGCATCCTTGCCTCCTCGGTGCATCCTTGGCCACTTTCGTTGGCCGCGCCTCGCTCGAAAAAGACGAAATGGGCTCCCAAGGGCCTTGCATCCTTATCGCGCATCCTTACTGTACGGGTTGACTGGATTCGGACCCCATCTATAAGGCCTCTAGTTGGTACGATTTGAACATGCAGCCCGAAGGCTCAAGTCGCGCGAAGGCACCAAGCCTAATTCGGCACATCCCTCACACGGTTCGTGGCCACATAGGCAGTTCCATCGAAGGCCCCAGTGGGAGGGTTCGCATGGCACCACCGCACCCAATTTGGCACATTTTTCACACAGTTCGTGGCCCCATAGGGAGCCCCACCTAATGCTCCAGTGGGAGGGTTCGCACGGCACCACCGCACCCCATTCGGCACACCCCTCACACGGTTCGTGGCCCCTTAGGGAGCTCCACCTAAGAATTCAGTGTGAGGGTTCGCATGGCACCACCGCCCCATATCGGCACACCCTTCGAATGCTTCATGGCCCCATAAGGAGACCCCCCGAAGGCGATACCCGCAATGACGGCACTCACAATTGAATATGGTTAGCTCCTTCGCCAGGATAATTGAATCGCGCGCGCCCGCTTGCTTTGGTTAATCACAAGCTGACACTATACGGTATAGGAGCCCCCCACCCACCCCCTTCCCCCTCCCACCCGCGTTGCAGCAGCATTGATTCCCCCATTCCCCCCCGCCCCCCTCCCCTCCGCCGCCGCAGCAGCGTGGCCCCCCCCCCTGTCCCCCTTCCCCCCCCTCGCGTCGCGGCGGCAAATCTTTTACTAGCCCCTCTCTTCCCCCTCCCCCCCCTGCGTCGCAGCAGCAGTATAGGAGCCAGCGTCGCGGATGCCCGGCTGGACCGCGCGGCTGGGGCTGCCGCGCCCAGCCAGCCGAGGGAAACGAAGCGGCTGCAGCTGCCGTGCGCACGGGCGGCCTCTCCTCAGAAGAGAAGGCGCCTTCCTTCTCCCCCCCCCCCCTTTCTTCCCCCTCCCTCCCTCCCCCTCCCTCCCTCTCCCTCCCTCCCTCCCTCCCTCCCTCCCTCCACCCTCTTCTTCCCTCTCTTCCTCCCCCTCCCTCCATCCCTCCCTGCGCGCGGACGGCCTCCCTTCAGAGGAACCGGCCCTCTCCCCTGGATGCGGATTCGCTTCGGAGCTCTCTTTTTCAGGGTGCACCCCGGGAGAGGCCCCGGGGAGCAGCGGTCTCTGTGCCTCTCTGCCCCTTGTGCAGCCCAAGGGCGCCAGTCGCCCCAGGGGCGCCGCCAGAGGTGGCGCCGGGGGGGGTGACAGCTGCGTGTATCCAGAGGCTCCTATCGCCGCCCACTGCACAGGGGATCAAACGCCCCCCCCCCCCGTGGATGGATACGTCCGTGAGCCTCGCGAATGCCTCGCGGATGGGGAGCTTTCCCCCCCCCACCCGTGGTCGTGTCGTGGCTCTGCAGACGTGGCGTGGTTGAGGGCACCGGTTCACCCCCCGCACTCACCATGTGACCCTTGTGGGTGTGGAGCGGTTCGTCGTCGTCGTCGGCGGCGGCGTCGGCGTCGGCGTCGGCGTCGTCGCCCCCCCATCCCATCTGGGGGGGAGGGGGCTTGTGGAACATTGGGGCCCATCCCATACAGGGGGCGGGGGGCTGTGAACCCTCGACCCGGCATCACATATTCAGCGAGGCTCTTGCTAAAATGTGCGTCGGGACCCTCTCCCTGGGCTGTCCGCCACATTTTGCTTCCCCCGATTCGATGCGGCGCTGCGGGAGGGGGAGGTGGAGGACGAGCAGAGGAGGGGGAGGATGCTGAGAAGACGAGGGGGAGGAGGAGGGACAGGACGGCGATCGGCAAGCCACTGATGGCGCTCCTGCGAAGGACATGCCCTCAACACAATACCGTAGCCGTTCTGGCGCACGTTGGATCGAGACCTGGGACAGTTGTCCAACTCTTGACCCCAATTTTAAACACTGAACATCCACAGCTCTCTCTGATCTCGATGATGAAAACTGCTGTCGCAGCGGTAGCATCTTGCTTTGCGCACTCGCACGCGCTGGACTGGCCACGTGCTGTAAGCGAAGCGTCGCGTATCCCACCGTCGCAGATGATCGCAGCATCGACGTTGAGGTCGGCGGAGATCACGGGCATGACCTGCACGGCGGTAAGCGAGTATGCCCCCGCCACCGGCTCCCCCTTGCTTTGCAGCAATGTCTTCGTGGACAGTAACGACGCGCATTGGACAGACGCAGCCAGTGATACCTCATACGTTTGGTCAGCGGACAACGAGGGGGCAGCGGGCAAATTGGGTGGTTGCGTCGGGATATGGATCGAGCTGACTTTGCCAGCCGAGTATACCGTGGATATCATCACTTATCGCCAACGGTATTCGCCGATTGACCAGGGCGACGAGATGGACGTGGAGCTGAAGTCTTCCAGCGGCACGGTACTGTCGACGCAGCACATCATTTTCCAAAACGTGAGCATCGACAACCCGCAGGAGGAGGCCTTCTCGCTAACGCCCACGGCTGGTGTAAAATCCATCCGCTTTACCTACACTAAAGCGGATGGAGCCAACTGTGGCCCCACTGGGGGCTACTTGGGAGCAAAACGCATCAAGGCGTACGGCACCCCCGCGGCCGCGGGCGCAGGAGCTGCCAGCGCAGGAGTTGCAGGTGCAGGAGCTTTCGGGACGACGACGGCAGCCGCCGCCTCAGGCGAAGGGCTCGTTCTCATGACCGAGCTTGCGGAAGAGGTGATCGCCAACGAAGAGCCACTCTTGCCAAATCCCTGGGACGTTGTCGTCAACACCCCGTCGGACAGGGACGTCGGCACCGTCACGGAGCACCCCTTCGCGCCAGCCTACGACCTCGAGGTGGCCGTAGATTCTCTCGAGACTGCAGTTGAGCAGAGCGGAGGTTCACCTACGATTTCCATCCGCAGGATCTTGGTCACGGAGACCAGGAATTCCACCCAACCGCCACCGAGCTACCGCATGGGCGGCGAAGGAGGCGTAACCGTGAAGCACCTCAACGGCATGCAGAACCCGACGGGTGCCACGACAGTTTGGGGTTGGGAAAAGAATCGGTATTTTGCTCTACAGGCTTGGATGGCCACGAAGAGCGATACCGATCTGATGGTCGTCCATGCGAGTGGCGAGGTCTTGTTTGCTGGATGCGATGAAAGCACCATCCAGTTGAAGTACAATCAGATCATCACGGCTAACGGTGGCACTCAGACGATAGTCTTGGCTGCCGAGGTGAGCCCTTTTCATGAAGATCTCGGGTATTCTTACGACATCTCGACCGCTGGTATCGATGCAACCAGGACCGGGGCCCTCAGTTATCTAAGTGCTGCCGCCGACTGGGCCACAACTTATGCCGCATGCACCGTTGGAGTTTGTAACAGTCCGCCCAAGTATCAGTTCGCAAACCCGGGTTTCATCATGGGCCCTGTCGGCGACATCGCAGAGATGCTTGCAGATATGCCCACGTGGGCCGACACAGAGAATCGTTTGATCAACCAGTACTACCTCCGCAACACCGACAAGGTGGCTCTCGACTTCGCAGGCACTTTGGTGATGTCCTTGCACAATATGAAGCTCGACGCGAGCATCCCCGTTGAGGTCGAAGTCGTTTCGGGCAGCAAGAGGATCAAGAACAAGGTCACCCAGGACGCCGTGTGTTTCGTGCACGGTGCTGGGAATTCGTTCACTGCCCTGAAAGATCTTGCGCAGGAGTTACTTGCGTGAGGGCACGCTGGCTAGGTGAACATATCTCATGGTGTCCGCCCGTTTTGGCAGGTTTAGAGGTATGGCCCGATCATGTGGTGATTTGTCCATGTGCTACGTATCGATCTATGAGCTCCCAGGCTCTTTTGTCCGCGAGAAAAACAAAACAATGCCCCAACGCAATCCCGCATGGAAGTCCATGTCAACGTGTCCCTCCGCGGTGGTTCAACATGAATACTACCCTCCTTTCTCCCATGACAATGAGCGCCCCACCATGTTCGAGTATTGGTTCGCTGGCGAGCGAGGGGGGGAAATGAGAAGGAGAAGGCATTCTCAGAAGGCGGCGCGACTTCTCAGAATCCATCGCGCCTTCTGAGAAGTTTCTGCGTCTTCGACAAAGGCCTATAATACTCCTCAGAAGGCCGGGGGACTTCCGCAGCGTCTGAGAAGGCCTTCTCCTGCTCCTTCCCCCCCTCGCTCGCCGCCGACTGGTGCCTGTGCTTGTGCGTGCGCGTGTCTTGCGAGTGCTGCACACGCAGGATCAGATAATCCGGTGGCGCTGCCGCGCGATCCCCGGCACCGCGCTGGGGCGGGAGAAGCGGGGGGGGGCGGGGGCCAGGGGGCCAGGTAGGATCGGGTGCGGGCGGTGTGCGAGGGCCTCCTCCTCCTTTTGCAAGTCCTCCTCCTCCTCCTCCTCCTCCTCCTCCTCCACTTGCCTCCTCCTGCTCTTCCGCTCGCCTCCTCCTCCTCCACGTCCTCCTCCTCCTCCTCCTCCTCCTCCTCCTCTTCCACCTGGGCACCAGGTATTACAAATGGTGTACTGTGAAGGTCTCACAGCCAGTGCCGCCGACCCAGATGATGGCCCTCCCACGGGCTCGGGACATGGGGGGTGGCGGTGGAGGGAGGTTCAGGGGGAGGAGGAGGAGCAGGAGGAGGAGGATGAGGTGGCGGAGGCGG